GTGACCGGCGCCTATAATCCCAGCTACTCGCGAGGCTGACGTAGGAGAACCACTTGAACCTGGGAGGCGGAGGTTACAGTGAGCCAAAATCGAGCCATTGCACTCCAGCCTGGGCGACAGAGTGAGACTCCGTCTCAAAAAAATAAAATAAAATAAAATAAAAATAAAAAATAAAAGTCCTTAACACGGCCCACGAGGCTCCATGGAATCTGGCCCCAGCCTGTCCACTCAACTTCATCTATTACAATCTGGGCACTCAAAATATGGTCTGCGGATCGGCAGCATGGAAGTCACCTGGGAGCGAGTTAGCACTGCAGCTTCTCAGACCTCCCTCTTCATCTGCTGGATCAGAACCTGAACTTTTTAGTTTGAGCAGAGCGTCTCCCAAGCTTACAAGCTTCCCCTTCACCCTGATTTAGCCATAAGGGTATTTCATATTCCTCACTTGCCGTTCTTGGGAGCTGACCAGAAGTACTTGCAACGCGCGCAGCTACAGGCAAATACGCACCGACGCTTGCGCAGGCGCACTGCCCCCCGTCGGAGCGCTCCTATTTGAGTACGCGTGCGCTCAGAGTACCGGCGAAGGAGGCAAGGCCTATTTGCCGGGCTGTCCCAGCTAGGGGTGGCCAGGACCTGAAAGGAGGAGAGGGGTTTCCGCTTCCGGCAGGAGTCGGAAGTCACTGTCTCCCGGGTGAAGGGAGCTTTCGCAGCTAGAGAAGGTGAGTGCCGGTGCGGCTCGTGCGAGTGGGCGTTGGGGCCGGGCAGGACTGGGAGTTCCTCGACTCCGTACGTTTACGGGGTCCTGGAGGAGACTCCTGGGACCTCGAACTTGGGGGAAGGCAGGTCGGGGAGACTGACTTCCCCGGACCCCAGCCTTCCCAGCGCGACAACCGGGACGCCTGGCTCCTCCGGGCGGCCGTCGGGAGGCGATGCCGAAGCCTTAGTGAGTCTGGAGGAACAGCCAACCCTCCACCTCTTGGGTCCCAGCAGATTCGGGGGATGACTCCTCTACCATCCCCTTTTGGCGCGCTTGGACTTAACGTTGTCACAGGACAGGCCGAGGCCTCTGCAGTCCTTGTGCACGCCAGACCCCATTCATGGGATGGGGGGACTGTAGTCCCTGGGCAAAATGAGCTCCTGGGGCTCATCCGTAGATTTTGTTTGGACTTTTTTTTTTTTTTTTTTTTTTGAGACAGAGTCTTGCTGTCTCTCCCCAGCTGGAGTACAGTGGCGCGATCATAGCTCATTGCAGCCTCGACCTCCTGGACGCAAGCTTTTCACTTTAGCTTCCTGAGTAGGTAGGACTACAGACTCGGGACTAATTTTTGTGATTTTGTAGAGATGAGAGGTCTCACTATGTTGCCCAGGCTGGTCTGGAACTCCTGGCTTCAAGCGATCTTCCCATCTAGGCCTCCCAAAGTGATGAGATTACAGGCGTGACCTCCCAAAGTGATAGTTACAAGCAAACTGATTGATTGATGTATTCAGTAGTGGTTATTGCTGAGCACAATGGCTCATGCATGTAATGCCAGCACTTTGGGAGGCCGAGGCGGGAGTATCGCTTGAGCCCAGGAGTTCCAGACCAGCCTGGCCAACATGGCGAAACCCCGTCTCTACAAAAAATACAAAAATTAGCTGGGCATGGTGCCGCGGCTAATTTGTATTTCAGAGGTAGAGGGGCAGGGGGAGGATCGCCTAAGGGATGTGTGAGAGAAAAAGGCATTGAGGATGAATCCAAGGTTTGTTTTTTTTCCGTTTGTTTCTTTTTTGAGAGGAGAGTCTCGCTCTGTCGCCCAGGCTGGAGTGTAGTGGCGCGATCTCCGCTCACTGCAAGCTCCGCCTCCTGATTTCACGCCATTCTCCTGCCTCAGCCTCCCGAGTAGCTGGGACTACAGGTGCCCGCCACCACGCC